CGACCTAGCGGCTTGGCACAGACACCGACCTGGTGACCTGGCAGCCTGGCACATGCGCCGACATGGCCACTTGCAAGACATGCTCGCCAACGAATTCGGCATGCATATCCACACTCCCACGATCCTTGGAAGTTGGCCCACGTGCCGAACGATCTGGAGGGTGGTTAACGTGCATGGCGGTTACCTCAGGGAATCTCGGACCACTTAGACGACTTCTCAGAAATCTCAGATATGGTGCGTGAAGCCTATGCCAAACAATACCTATATAAGGGCACCAACCCCAATGACATAGGGAGCAAGTAAGCATATTCTAGCTCTCATACTTTGTGATTTTTAGCTCGTAGTCTACTATGAGAGTATTGACTTAAGCATCAGAGCGACCTCGCCGAGTTAGCCACCCCGGGTCCTCTGACATTTGGTTCCTTGCTGGTCTCTAAAGAGCAACAAAGCTCATCAATCCAACTCGACACCTCACAGGCAGCTCGGCACTTGGTTAGCCCAGCACCTCACAAGTAGCTCGCCACCTGTCAGCTTGCCACCTGGTCAGCCCGACACCTCACAGGCAGCTCAGCACCTCACAGACAGCTCGGCACCTAGTCAGTCCGACACCTCACAGGCAGCTCGACACCTGGTTAGCCCGGCACCTCACAGGCAGCTTGCCACCTGATCAGCTCTGCACCTCATAGGCAGCTCGGCACTATAGTCAGCTCGCCACCTAGCCTGCCCAGCTTGATTCCACTCGGTAGCCAAAGTTCTCCACTTCAGCTTGAGTCATCAACCACTTGGAAGCAGATCAAATGACGAGGTACTTAGTCAAAAAATCGATACATCAATAAAAATCGATTCATCAATTGGCGCCGTTTGTGGGAAACGCTACAAAAAGCTAAGTTCTCACCTTTTAGAAACTAAAAGCTCACTTTCTAGTTTCCATCTTTTATGAACTCAAAGATTATGCAGGAATTTGATGGTCATTTGATGGCCAACAGACTAAGCAGTTCTACCAACTTTATTTCAACTCAGATAAAGCCTCATCAACCCTCTACAAAGATGAGCTCTTCGTGGCTTCCGTAGGAGTAGGCGGCCAATAGACTGCATGAACGCCCTTGGCGGTCGAGCCTTCCAAGGCTCCCGTGCGAGCTGGTGACCTAAAGTCAGTAGTGTTGCCCCCGTAGGTCGAGCTCCTAGTAGCTACTTGTAGGAGTGGGTAACCGATGTCACTAACGAGGCTGATGCAATGCAGTCGTAGCTCTAAGGCACCGACCTGGCGGCTTGGCCCAGGTGCGACTTGGCAGCTTGGCAGCCTGGCACAGGCGCAAGCTGGCAGGCTGGCCCAGGCATGAACTGGCGAGCTGATAAAAGACTTCGGCTCCACAAAAGACCCAGTCGCCTCTTCGGCATGGGCAAGATCAAGGAGAGTGGACTACAAGTCGCTCCTAGAGCCTAAGGGCTAAAGTGCCGAATTGGCAAAGACTTCGGCACCACATAAGACCCAGTCGCCTCTTTGGCATGGGCAAAATCAAAGATCAAGGAGAGTAGACTACGAATCACTCCCAGAGCTTAAGGGCTAAGGTGCCAAACTAGCAAAGACTTCGACATCACATAAGACCCAGTTGCCTCTTCGGCATGGACAAGATCAAGGAGAATGGACTACGAGTCGCTCCCAAAGCCTAAGGGCCAAAATACCGAACTAGCGAAGACCTCCTCACCACAAGACCCAGTCGCATATTCGGCATGGGCAAAATCAAGGAGCGAACTGCGAGTCGTTCCTATAGCCTAAGGAATTGAATCGACGCTTACGAGCTCATCGAATTATTCATTCCGGACCAACAGGAGAAATTTACTCCCTTCGCCGAGTTACTTTCAGCTCGGGAGTGTGGGCAAATGATGAGAGCGGATTTGGCCCTCCAATGATATTGTGACACATGGCACCTCGAAACAACTAGGTGACACCCAGAACCACTTTGGCAACAACTTGCCTTAGCCAAGTTGATGGTGTCCCACCTAGTAGCCTGGCACAAGCGCGAGCTGGTAGCATGGCACTGGCACTGCCACTGCCCAACTCAATTCCACTCGGCAGCCAAAGTTCTCTACTTTGACCTGAGTTATCGACCACCTGAAAGTAAACCAAATGATGAGGTACTTAGCCAAAAAATTGATACATCAATAAAAATCGATTCATCAGTGGGTTCACACGTCCAATAAACCCACGGGTGCACAAAATGCGGACTTGTAAAATTGGGGCAGTATCTTAACTTCATAAAGAAAATTTGGGGTTGAATTACCAACCAGGTACAGAGGCGTCTAACTCTTGAAAATCAAAATGTGTTTAAGAAAATCATAACATAAAAGCCACGCTATGATTTGAAAGAACATAATTATAATATGCTCAAATCACAAGGTATAGTTATGTTATCTACATAGAGAAAAGGATGAACACACCTATCATTGGTAATTTGGCACTTACAAAACAAATAATTCCTAAAGTCAAGTCACGCAACAAACTGGAGAGATCTCAATAGAATATGCAGAGTCCAAATCCAAAAAAATAGATCCTACAATTGATGTGCAACCAGTAAATTTGAAGGAATTATTAATTTGAAGACCAGCATTCATGGTGGTGGTGGTGATCACTTGGAATAACCAGCAGGCGGGTAACCAGCTGGTGGTAGTGGTGGGTATCCAGCAGGAGGGTAACCGGCTGGTGGATATCCAGCAGGAGGGTAACCGGCTGGTGGATATCCAGCAGGAGCAGGAGGGTAACCTTGAGGTTGAGATGGTGGTGGATAACCATAGGGCTGCCCGTATGCTGGTTGTGGTTGATATCCAACTGGAGGAGGAATTGGCTGATCTATGCGAGACATCTGCTGAATGGGTGGCACAGCCATCACCTGCGGGCCAAGCATACCATCCCTCTTATCCATTTCAATCTTGTGCTGTGTCTGCATACATGCACAGACCCTACAAAAATGAAACCAAGAGATAGAATCAGAACAGAAAGCTTTGGAAACTATAATCATTTTCTAGTTTAGAGAGGGAAGGCGTACGTGCAATAAACCATGTCAGAAAAACATGATAGGATCTGAGAAGCCTCTGAAAGTTCCTCGCTTCCAACAATCATTGCAACAATGGAGAATATGCATGCTAGTTGTTGGAGACAAAACATGAATCCCTATGGTAACAGGAAGCAAGGGATTCAGAAACATGTATAGCACATATATTTGAGAGAGAGACTGAGAGAGAGAGAGAGAGAAAGAAAGAGAGAGATTTACAATAATACAGTTGTCACACTGCGTTGTCTGTATATTGAACTCATCTTGTAATAGAAAACGAGTTGATGCAACTGAGTTACCAAAGCAGAGGAAAACCTGAACAAAATGCATCAAGGATGAGTACAACTATATGCATCAATGAATAGAAAAGTAGGAATCTGTGAGTGAAAATAAAACTAATGCCATACCTCAGTGCAGAGACAAAATTCCGGGCATTTACTTTCTCCACACCTACCACTACATGGTAGATAACCAGCACAACATGTATACCTGTAACAAAAGAAAAGAATATGGAGAAGGTAAAAATCACACCCCTCTGCTCACTATATCACAACTTCATGGAAGAACGGAGGTAAGAAATTCATTACCTTGACATATCATTGTAAAGAGCTCGTTTCCGAAGCATGTATGAAGCACATGGTCCACTACAATAAAGCAATAAATGCATTAAATGAACTAGAGGTATCAAGGAACACACCACAAAGAACTTATTTCATGTATTAAAACCAACAAAATGGGAGAAGTATAGAGTAAATTTACACAGTTTGGTTGCCTGAAAGTGAAAAGTCGCATTCTTTTAGGTTTTCTTTTCCTTTCTTACATGTTCTTAGCAGCCAAGCACAGCATTGATTTTTGTAGCAAACAGGTGATGTAAACACAAGAAAGATAAGATTGAGGTTTGTTCTAGAATAATTGCAGGAGTTGGGGTATTGATATAAAACATTGCAGGAGTTGGGGCCAAGGTTCAAAATTTCGATACGATACGCCCTGTATCGGGTGTATTGTATCGTATCTTTTGGGTCCTGATATGCCGGTTTCCAGGTGTTTTGGGACCCCACTCTTTTTCAATAACAAAAACATGTTTCTCCCCAAAAACTAAATGTGAAAAAAAAAACTAAAAAAAACAAGTTTCCATATGTTTCTAAGTTCCAATACGCCTCTGCCGATACACAGGCGTATGGAAATTTTGAACCTTGGTTTGGGGTCTCCTAGGAATGGGAATGTGGGAGGAGGAATGTATAATCACCAATAAATTTCTCTACATATCAGAATATCACATTTCTATGCATTTTGTGTTGATTAAGTGCATTATGCACATCTTCAATGATATTTCAAAGTAATTTCCTTTTACCACTTCTAACCACAGCCTTAGTCTACATTTTGATGCAAGGAGACTGGAAAATCTAAGGCACCACAAAACACTAGGGGGAAAAAGACATAATTTAGTAAAGAAAACATTTTACATCTGAAAAGGTGGAGCATCTCTTCTTGCAGTGCAGATTCAGTTGGGTAATTTGGATGAATATACTAGAGGTTTTTGAAGTTGAGTCATGCCTCCCAAGGAATGTATTGGATCTGTTACGGGGCTGGGGTCTGAGGGGTCTGTAGAGAAGAGGTAAGATTGTATGGAAGTTGTTGCCAGCAGTGGTGTGGTCAATCTGGTCGGAAAGAAATATGAGACTCTTTGAAAATCAGTTGAGATCAGAGGAGAAAGTCTTAAAGAGAATTTGGGGAAAGGTTATATTCCTGGGTGGAAACTCACAAACTGTTTAAGAATTGTCCTTACAATTCTCTCAAAAAAATTATGTCTGAAGCCAATCTAAGATCTTTTTTGTTGATACCAAAAATCTAAAATGGAATATGTGATAGAACAAGAATTGGAAGAAATTGATGTCTTTTTCAACTGAGAAAATAGTACATATATATACAGCYTTGTAGATACTAAAATAGGAAGAAAATCAACTACCTCCTCCAAGAATAATTCCTATAATCAAGCTATTCCTAATTGGGCTAATACTCCATAATTACAGCCTATAATTACAACCTATAATCTCGTAACACTCCCCCTCAAGATGGAGCATAGATGTCAATCATGCCCAGCTTGTTACAAATATAAGAAACCCGAGCTCCATTAAGAGCTTTTGTAAAGATATCTCTTAACTGCTCTCCAGTCTTCACATAWGCTGTAGAGATCAAGTTTTGTTGAATTTTCTCACGAACGAAATGACAGTCTATCTCAATATGTTTAGTTCGTTCATGAAAAACTGGATTCGAAGCAATATGAATCGCAGCTTGATTATCGCACCATAACTTCGCTGGAATTGAGACTTTAAGACCGACCTCGGTTAAGAGTTGAGAAACCCACATAACTTCACACGAAGCTTGTGCAATTGCTCTATACTCAGATTCTGCACTAGATCGCGACACCACATTTTGCTTCTTATTCTTCCACGAAACCAGATTACCACCAACAAAAACACAATAGCCAGTAGTGAACCTTCGATCAATCTTGGAACTCGCCCAGTCCACATCAGAAAAACACTCAATATTACTGTGACCATGATTCCGATACAGTATCCCCCGTCCAAGAGTTCCTTTCAAGTAACACAAGATTTGTTCTAAGGCTGCCCAATGATGCACTGTAGGAGAGGACATAAATTGACTTACAATACTAACTGAGTAAGCAATGTCAGGACGAGTCACTGTGAGATGGTTCAACTTTCCAACTAATCTTCTATATCGTTCAGGATCATCAAAAGCATCTCCATCCTTTGTGAATTGCTGGTTAGGAAGCATTGGAGTAYTGCATGGTTYGACTCCCAGTTTCCCAGTTTCTGTTAACAGGTCCAAAACATACTTCCTCTGAGACAAAAAAATGCCTCTTTTACTCCTTGCCACCTCAATCCCCAAGAAGTATTTTAGGTGCCCCAAATCTTTAGTATTGAACTGGCTTTGCAAGAAGGATTTCAAGGATGAGATTCCTTGCGTGTCACTCCCAGTGATAACAATATCATCTACATATACAAGTAGAATGATGCCAAATGTGGACTGCTTATAGAAAACAGTATGGTCAGATCTGCTCTTCCTCATCCCAAACCTCTCTACTGCCTGACTGAATTTTCCAAACCAAGCTCGAGGACTCTGTTTTTTACAATTGCCCCCACTCAAATAAAATAATATGGGTCAAATAAAATTTGACTTCTTAAATGGTGTTTTTTTTCATGGTTTTAAAAGGCCTAAGAGGTGAAGCCACATGTGTGCCCCCATTGATCAATAGTCCTGGATCCACCACTGATAATCACCCCTTTGTCCCTGACAAATTAGTTAGACTTATGTCTCTTCTTACCACCCTCCACTCTATCATTAGCTATAGCTGGATTGGTGGCACACCATTATGTGAGGCTACTTATTCAATCTGGTCATAGAAAGGAACACTACTATTCAGGAATTCTATGATAAATTGGAGGCACAATCATTTGAGAGAAGCAGACTCAAGGCTTTGGAAGGTAAACAGCAAAGGCAAATTTTCTGTAAACATCTGCAAAAAGAAGGGGACATGTAAAATGCCATGTATGGAATAGAGTGAAATGGTGCAGTAATATTTTTCTAGGCAACTCCATGTATTTGGGGTGAGGCGTTGTTGAGTTGATTGTGATGCCATCTAAACAATTCGCTGTACTAACAAGATCAATTCTGAAGTATTATTCAGCCACGTTGCTGAGCATAGTCAATTTATAAGCCCTTACAAATCAAAATGTTCAACAACCCAGGAAACAAAAACGGCCTCAACCTACTCTTGCAAAAATATAATTTCAAAAGTAATGGTAATCCCTAGTTTCTGGTGAATGTACCACTACAAACCAGGACAAGGACCAGATGTATATAAAGCAAGCCTAGCATACGTACACCTACAATTAGACATTTACACCCTTTAATCGATTTGTGTCACCTAATACTCCGCATCTTCAGGGATGTAACCTCAAGGGTGTATTCTATCACCAAATCTGAGAGTAGAAAGTTCTGAATTTTTGGATAGAGTGCTACCAATACTTCATATTACCCCCCCCCCCCTCCATTTTATAAATGACTAAATGTGATCTTCGAAGTTGACCCCCAAGATGGAATAGAAGAGTTGTTGAACTTCCACAGGAACTCATGAAAACAAAATAAGCACAATCAATAAAGTATCCAGACAAATCCATTATGCTATTTAAATAATTAAATTGTAAACAGAAAAGATGCATTTTCTGTAACATTGATCGAAATGTTAAGATTTCCTAGAGTCAACTCAAATAACACCAAGTCAAGAAGCACAAGTTAATCAAGAAACAACACTAGATCTCGAGACAATAACATGATTTCAATGACAAAAAACAACTAAATGAAAAATTAAGACGCAAAAGGAGCCAATAAAATTAAAAATAAAACAAGATCACTTTAGAAGAACAAATAAGCAAAACATAGAACGGATCGAAGCACTTACCACCAGAAGGCAAAACAGCAATCTGGGTAAAAATTACAGGAAGATAATCTCGGTCAAACATTCCATGAAGAAGCTGTGAGGAAAAGAAGCAAACCAAAAGAAAAAAGGAACAAGAATGATGGGGAAAAGAATTGTGAATGCTTACAAGGTGTATCGGCTTGAATAGTGCTCATAAGATCAGTATGCCAGAAATTCCTGTAATTTTTGCGTGCTTCCATCTTCTGCAGATGATCCTGCGACGCCATGGCCGGGAAGTCTTGAGTGCAACCTCTGGAGACGTTTCAGAAAACGAAAGGATTGAACAAATACAGAATCGGGGGAAGGAAAGGCCTCTGAGAAGTCAGAGTCTGGTTTTCAAGGCAGAAGGAAGTTTCCTTCTTGGAGAATTCAAAAACCCCCCCTTCTCTTCTCTCGAAGGCCGAACTTAACGACCAACGGGAGCGTGCGAGCGACGGTCTTACTTCTTAGCACTAGCGGCAATTGAGAGGAAAAAGCCAAAGCCAAAGCCAGCTAATTGATGATAAAATTTCTGAGAGAAGAAAAGATTTCCAGAATTGATTCCATGGGTCGTTTTCATACATTAAGGTTACAGATCCAACAATGTAAGCCATGACGATGTTAAGATCATTTTGTGCGAAGTCATGAGATTTAATCCAACGGATATAAGGAAAGGTGTATAATGTTAATCTGTGGGAAGATGAGCGTAGTTTGTTAGATGTTTGTAAATGTCGACGAAACGGCTGTTGGGTTGGGACTCTGGTCCAGCGTGGATTCCACCTCGCAAATTCTGGAAGATTGAATAAAGGAGAGAGAGAGAGGGATCATCACATCTCTTAAGAGGTCAATGGAGGTTGGAGGGGGGTAGAGTTAACAGTGTGGTACGTATACTACAGACATGGTTAAAAACCAAAAAAAACTCCCCTCCTATACTCCTGTTTCGTCTCTCCAGTCGGCGATTTTATTTACACGTCAGAAATATCAAAAATCCCGAATTTAGGATTGGGGAAGAGCCTGGGACCACGCTACGGTGTATCATGTATGGTCCACAAATTCCGTGTTTCCGACATTAGCGGGATCCACTTTACCTATTTACCACGGCTCTCCTACAGTCCTACTTTGGAAATTGGAATTGGATCTCATCTAGATTTAGGGGCCGTTTGGCAAATTTTTTTGAGAAGATCTTGTCTTTCTTACGATAAAAAAGATGCATTGAATTTTTGCACGAAGGTCTGAGTAGTCCGAAGCTAGTTTGACTAATGTGCGTGTCTTTCGGTGTGTTATTTCACATGAAAATAAAGCGAGAAAGATGCAAAAAGCTCCATTGGAGCTTCCTGAAATCAGCCCAAAATGGATTTTTTATGTCTTTTTGATGCATCGAATTTTGGCGAATAGATCTATTACGAATCAAACGGAAAAAAAATCACAGTGTGATCTGCCCAACTTGTAAACAACCGAAAGACCGCATGAAAAGACATATTAAACAGGACCTTAGTCTAGACCTAACAAAAAATGGATCTAACTGAAAACCCGACCCGACCAACCAGCACAAAAGCGGGCTAGATACCCTATCTAGTGGCCTGACCCAATTTGGAAAGGATTTGGGTTGGGTTGGGGCACATGCCACCACCAAGTCACCTATTTTCAAACCAATATTTGATCCAAAGGGTTGAACCATTTAAACTGTTTGAATTGAATGATTAACCCGTATTTTTTTGATTAAAAAGGGTTGACTTGGTCAAAGACTACGTGACCCGGATGATTGAACCATTACATTAACCTATGTAATTCACGATCAATCCTAAATTAAATGTCCCGATTCGAAATGATCCAAACATAACTTGGCATGACCCGATTTCCAAGTCAAGTCTCATCTTAAATATCCCAAAAAATCATATTGAATTTTTAGTTTTTTTACAGTTTACACCAAGGTTCAAATAATTCGACCCAGAATATCATATTCATATCGAATGGGCAAGCCCCAATACACGAAAAATAAAGGGGTTTTGGCTTTTGAGTCTTCTGGGGGTAGGTCCGTCTAAGATTAGTACGCATCTGCTCTCACACAAAGCGCCTCACACCGATTTCACAGTATGCCCTGGCTGTATATTGGAACATCTTCTATACTTATATTTAATATTCATGGAAAGATGTTCTCAATGAAGAGTGGGATGTGTTTGTGAAATAAGTGTGAGACATGCTCTGTGAGGAGCAGATCCAAATTAGGGCATGTTCATTTGCTCTGAAGTTTGACATCTGAAAGTGTAATAATTACATTAAAAGGTATATTGGTATTGGTGAAATTTTATTTTTTCTGTACTCTGAATGCAAAGAATGTTGTTCTGAACTCTGAATTCTGAAAATGATCAAATATCCATTTTGATCCCATATATTAGAGTTTTTGTTTATTTTTTGGGAGTATCATTGGAAAACAAAAAGTTGTATGATTGCACTTTAAAAGATAAGAGATAAGAGGAAACGAACAACCATTTTTCTCTTAAAGTTAACAGATTCCTCTTAAGAGATAAGAGTTAAGAGGAAACGAACAGGCCCTTAGTCTAAGATTGACCCTCAATCAATCAATTAAATTAAAAAACTATAAAAGATTGTACATAGACGTGCGTATTGGGTGTATCAAATACTTTGAACTTTTTTTCACAGAAGGTGAATGGACAGAAAAAAAATACATGATTGGATTAAACTTGTGTGATAGTTGCCTTAACGTGAAGTCCAAGCAAGTGAGGAAAGTAGAGAAGTTAACACTATGTTTGGTTTGTAGGGAAGGGAAAGACGGGGAAACTTATACAATGTTTGTAAAGGTTTCCCTACCTTTCCCTTCCTTTTCCTGCATTTTCCTTCAAACCAAACATAGCCTAAAAGAAAATGTACTAATCAAAATTATTCACTCTCAATCTTATGCTATTTTTGCATATCACCGATTTCTAAGCAATGTGAAAATTTATCCCGTGTAATTTACGGGGTTTGTTAAGTTAAAGAAAACAATAGAAATATGTAAGAGTATATAATTGTTTTATATAATAATAATAATAATTAATAATCATTTATATTTTATATACTACTCTTAATAATTTTTTACAATACAAAATTAACAATAGTTAATTTTAGATAAGGTTATTTATTAAACTTAGGGATGACAATTTTCTCCATTTTCTTGATCCTTGTTGGGATATGCCCTGAATGGGACGAGGGGTGGGGATGATTTTCCTCTCGCAGGGATAGAGATGGGGAAATTTTCATCCTCGTTGGCAAGGATGGTGTGGGGACGGGGAGAGCACTTCTTGCCTCCCGTGGACCCTAATCCCCGTCCCATGGGATCCCCATTAACATATATGTATATATACGCATACGTTTATATATGTATATATATATGTACACATACATCTATATGTTAATATTTTTAAAAATATGATTGAATATGTTTGAATCTTTTCTAATAGGATTGTAAATTTTAATTATTTTTTTATTTTTTAAATAAAATAAAAAACAAAAACATAACAGTTGACATTATAAAGAATCACAGGGAGTGAGGATCCCCATGGAGACGGGGATGGGGATAACTTTGTCCTTGTTAGCGGGGATGAGGATTTTTGTGGGGACGGTGATGGAGGCTCCTCATCCCCACCCCGCCCCGTTGCCATTCTTAATCAAACTAATGAAACTGACCAACCTAAGTCGGCTTTGGTTTAACAATTTCCCAACCCGACTTGGTTGGATCAGTTTCGCTTTGGCCATTTGTAAAATGACTAAAATCGAATAACCCAACCATAGATATATATTAATATTTTAAATATATTTTTTAATATGGGAAAGTGGGAAATTTTCAATATTTCTTAGGCTAAAATAGTTTATATCATAAATTTAATTTTTAAACTTATTTTTTAATAATGCCATTATAATTTTTTTAATTTAAACTTAATTTTTAAATTTAATTTTTTTAAGTTTAAATCTTTTGAATCGACCAACCAAGCCGAAAATTGACCCAAACCAATATAACCTGTGTGACCAACCCCCCAACCTAACCAAGTCAATTTGATTTGCCAAACAACCTACAACTGAACCGAACCAACCAGTGAACAATAATTTAATCTCCAATAATTATTAAAAATTTATAGCAGAAATACACAATCAATTAAATTTAAAAAGCTAAATAACAATAGTTTAAACTCCAATAATTATTGAAACTTTCTATTATATAAAAAAACAAAAATAGACTTATACATAATTATTGAAAATATATTTATCACAAAAAACAATAAATAATTATTGAAATACAATAATTATTAATTTTAATATAGATAAATATATAATAAATAATGATTATGTTTTTAAATTATTATTAATAAACAATAATTTTTTGAAAGTTATTTTCTAGAATTATTAATTGGTATAAATGAAATTAGTTATTTACAATATTAATTATTTATTTAAATAATATCATTATTTAAATTTTAAAATATTAATTACTTGTTGAATTTAATAATCCATAAAATTATAATACTATTAATACATGATTTTGTTATTTTAACCATTCAAAATCTAGTTATGTTAAATATTTTGTTACTTAAAATAATTAGTTTTTTAAGTAACTATTTAAAATATATTATTAATTGATTTAAAATATTAATTTTAATATTTTATTTAAGATATTTAGTTATTGAAATATTTAAATAATATTTCATTTTTAATTTTAGATTTTTATTATTTGAAAAACATTTAGATTGAATAATCCAGGAAATCATAATTTATATTGTTTGTACATAATTTCATGATGAATTTTGTAGAAATATATAATTATTAGTAATATGAATATTATTAAATTGATTATAATTATTTTTTTGTCTTTTTACTAAAAATTTTAAAGTTATTATATAATTTTTTTAGAATATTTAAATGATTTTTTAATATTTAATTCAAACTTTCTTCTTTTTTTGTAAATAAACTTTCTTGAGATAGATGTAAATAAAAAGTGGGAGAGAAGATAAATAAGAATTAGAGATAGTTTTGGAGAGAAACTCTCTATTAAATTAGAGATAACTTAGAAGAAAGTTGGGAACAATGGGAGAAAATGACACGGATTAAAAAAACTTAAAGAATTCAAAAAAAGAAAAAAATTTCTAGACTTTCTTGTTTTAATATATATATATATATATATATATATTATCATTTCTGAAGCTTTCTTACACTTCTGCAAAGATCTTTATGCAAAGAAAGAAAACAGAAAACTCTCTTTAAACTCTTGAGAATGACTCAAACTGTCCGGGGAGAACAAATTGTGGCTAGAAAGAGAGTTTCAAGAACAAGAAGTAAATGATGCGGTTTTTAGCATGGACGGAGATAGAGCCCTTGGTCCTGATGGCTTCCCAATTCTATTTACCAGACATGTTGGAGCATCATCAATTCAGGTTTAATACAAATATTTAATGATTTCTAACATTCAGCCATTGTAAACAAAGGAAACAATTCCAATTTCATATGCCTAATTCCCAAGAGAAATGG